TACGTATTCCAGCGTTAGTTCTTCTTCTGGGCGTGCTTCTAAAGCTGTAATGAGATTTTCGTAGCTTTTTGGTAAGCCGCTTAGTAAGAGCGCTGCAATGTGACTGTCCTTTATTTCTTCATCTTCACCGATTCCTCGCAGTTCGTCTACGATTTCGAGCATTTTGTTGACATGTTCTTCGAGTTTGTATTCGTTTTCTGCTTTTAACGTATACAGCTTTCTCAGAAGGTAAAGTTTACTGGAAAGATTCTTTCTTTCATGTATTTTCTTTAATTCATTCCATATTACTTTGTCATTTTATTTCTTATGTGTACGATTTGGTTGTCTTCTACGAGTAAACTAATGGTAGCTTGTGCTTGTTCATCTCCATTCGACGTTTATTTCTTTTGGTGTATCATCTGCTATTAAATCCCATAAATTTTCCTTTTTCAGGATCATTTCAAGTTTGTATTTCCATACTTGATAGTTGTTATTGTTTAGTTTCATGATCGAATATTTATTTTCGCAGCTAGTAGCCATTTCTGCTTCTGTATTTCGAATGCGCAGTACGCAACTATGCAGTTTTGTTTCGCTTTTGAAGACAGGCTTGGCTTTTCCTTTTTCGGATTATCCAGCGATAATTTATGGTAAAGTATCTTTTCTGTTTTTTTATTCTTAATGGCTTATCTCGATATATTTTATGCGTTTAGTTGAAGTAAACATATTTTCGGTCTCATAATCTATTGTTGAAGGTATTCGTGGTTCATTTTTGTTTACTGTTACAACTTCGCTAAATCGAGACGAGCAGATGAATAAAACAGAATTAAAGTTCTTACCTTAATAAAGTGTAATCCAAGCTGCCGATGTAAGGAACACGATCATTATATTAGCAAACACAAAATAACATATTTATTAGGTATTAGAAAAAAAAATATCTAGAGATGATTACAAGCGTTGTTTACTGTCCATTGCATAACGCGAGAAGTGAGTCATACAAGGAGAGAATGTTTCTCCTTCTTTTTGGATCAAGTCCAATCACAGTTAGCGGGGGTGAGGGGGAAATTAACGTCGGAGTGTACAGCTTCATCGCTGTCATTATGAATTGCTCCACAATACATTGGTACCTTCTTTGATGGCGAATTAGTAGCCATCTGTATAGCCTTACAGCAGTTCTTAGCTATTCATTACAAGTTTGCAAAAGCAGTCATTTTTTTTTTCTATTCTCACATAGCCATTCAGTCAATTAGCTCTGCTGAACGCCCATTAACACCTGAAATTTTGCAATGTCAAGAATTCTTGAGAACTCTCACTTTAAAGGGGAAACAAATCATTCTCCAGTGGGTGCCTGTCCATTCGGGCCTTTGGGGTATGAACAAGCAGGCTTACTTGCAAAAAGAGGTGCCAATTTACTACAACATCCTAATACAGTCATTTCTTATTGGAGGATCAAACTGTGTTTACGTCTGTAAGTCTGTATGTTAACTGTTTGTAAGTTTATTTACGTCTAATATACAAAATCTTGAGACTTTTACAGCGTTCAAAAGTTGAAGAATGATAAATCCATCTCTTATTCCCAATAATCCAAGATATTATGTAGTCGCGGCTTTCCGTCTGTCTACAGGACATGATTGCATTGCCGCCCACCTGCACCACGTAGGCATTTCAGGTGATCTGATTGGCCCACTTTGTAATTCTGAAGAAGAAATAGACAGGAACCACCCTGCTTCAGTGTGGGGCTCTTCGTGGTCTTAGAAGAGTTGAGATACTAGGAAGCAAGAGAGCTTTTTAGGCAATGACTTCGGTCATTTTGTTCTTAGATCTATTGTGTGTAACCCTTTGTTTGTAAGATTTTAGTTCTTTGTAACTTTTTGCCCAGCCATTGGAAATAAAAAAAAATATTTAAATATGCAAATGAAGTCTAGCATTATATCTAGAGATTGAAAAAAAAAGTATGATAGTAATTTAAGTCCCTTAAATAGTGTAAGTCTTAAATGTCTAGAAATAGCAGTGAAGTGTTTAGATTAACAAGAAAACTCAGATACAGTTCTGTTGGAATATTTAAAAGTGTGTAATATGCCTGCAGGCAAAATTGTTTTCTTTCAAGCAAAAACTTTACAATCTTTCATTTATTTATATTTAAAAAATTTGATTACCTTCCAGTTTTATAAAAAATATCATGTATTTTAAAAAGGTGGATGAAGGCAAATATTATTATTCAAGTGGCTGTATTAAGCTGGGTTAAGCTGGAATAAATTTTATGTGGCTTGTATTCCTGCAATCTTCTCGGTGATTTTATAGGAAATTGAAAATTGAAAGATGCTTTTGCAAATGCAGGAAGAGAAATTAGCTAACAACTGTAGTATTTGTAAGATAATAAGTGATATAGTTAATGTCATGAAGAAGTTTTTCATACCAGAATTTTGCCTTTAGCAGCCTTTTATTCGGTCCAAGGTTCGAATCCCGCGAACGGGCTGGCTGCATGGGCGTTTTCGTGGTTTTCTCCATGTGTAACGTGTATACGAGCCAGTTTCCCTTAGAAAGTCCTCAACGAAGGCATCCCTCTCCTTAGGCAGATAGCCCTCGAGGCTTTGCCATAATCACACACACACACACTCAACCCTTAGCAGCCTTTTAAATCTCAAATTCACAATCAGGAGACATTTATGCTATTTATAACAAGCAAACTCAGACATTATGGTGTAGAAGGAAAAGAAGTTATCCCTGTGCAGGATTTTCCCATCTATCAAAGCTTGCATTGCAGACAATACTTGACCCACATAAAGTATTGTTTGGTATTTCAGTATGACACATGATGCATGTGGATTTAAGTGCAATTGGACCATGCTTTTTATTCATGGATGAGCTATGTTACAGTTATATTTCATATTTGAAATAAGCAGTCATGTAACCTGTGTTCACCTTTATCAGGTGATATTAACTTATCAGTACAGTCAAAAATCGTTAATTCGGACACCCATAATCCGGAATGATCTATAACTCAAAGACCTGAAAGCTAAAAACTTTCTGCGCATGCGCCGCGTTGGCACATGCGCACAGGCGTTTTACGCGTGCGCGTAAGACTCTGACTACTGCGCATATGCGTGTGCGCAAGTGCGGAATACGTTTTCGCCTGCGCGTTTAATGTATAACGGACGGTGTAAGTAAGCTAAAATTATCTAATTATATCTATTTCAGTTAATGATTGCATTGTTCCTTAATCTTCGAATTGGATCCCGCTTTATTATTTTTTGCAGACTGTAAGAGCAATTTTATAAAAGTAAACTTGAACTTTCGATTATGTCAAATAGAATTTCCGATGCTGGGAACTTCCAAAGGATCTACAAAACGAAAGTATGGTTCGATGTCCAACAAACAAAAGTGGAATTGCTGAAAAATGGATAAAGACATGAAGAAATGTGACAGAGAGGTTAGTGAAAACGAAAAATATCGATTGACAAGTTAGTCGGTTATTCTCGGCACAGCAACTAACGGGACTTGAACAGGGGAACTTTGTAAACTGAACAAGAAATTATGTCTGTTTATAGAATTAAAGAGAAAGTATTATCACATAAAACGTAGCAACTTAAACAACTTACATCGAAAGAAATGTTTAATAAAGTAAACAAATAAATATTAAGTTTTTTTTTTTTTTTTTTTTTTTTTTTGTGTGTGTGTGTGTGTGTGTGTGTGTGTGTGTGTGTGTAAATTTTGATACCCTTTAGATCATAATTGTTCTTTATTTCATAAATTACGGTTTCATATTTTTAATTTTAGAATTTCTGCATGGCATCTTACGAGATTTAAACTGATGATCTATAATCCGGAAAAATCGATAATCTGGAATCGCCGAAGTCCCGACGAGTCCGGATTAACGACTTTTGACTGTATTAGTTGTGCTAGTTTTTGAATGTGCTTATTGTAAATCTAATCTCTTGTACACTTAATACATTAATGTAAAAGCAGCCATTAAATCTGTCTGTTATTGAAGCAGCTTTATTATGACCAAATTTAGTTGGCATGTTTTCTGACTATTGATTATTTGTTAAGGACATAGGAGAGATATGCATATAGTGTATAGATTTGGAGCATGGAATTTTTGCATTTAATATTTCATTATTGTAAGTATGTCAAGCAGATGTATTTCTGACCGTGAAATTAACTGTGCAGTATTGGGAAATGCTGTATAATAAAAATCTGTGAAATTAAAAATATGAATCATAAGGAGAATTAAACATCAAACAAGTTTTACTACCAGCAGCTTAAAAATTCTAGGATCAGGAATTACTTCACTGTTAATTAACTATTGAGCTAAACTTATTTGAATGATTCTTATCAACTGAATTTAATCTTTGATATTTAAGTAATATTGCATATTACTAAGCAATATTGTATGTGTTTTTTAAAGAACTTGTTACAAATTTTACTCTTATGTATCTTGTAGTTAAATGCTTAATAAATTATACTTCAAGCAAGTATTCAAATCATATTTACTCATTAGTTTTGAGATTAATTGAAACTCAAGAGTGAATATTTCTCTGTAGCTAATATTTGTCATTTCTTTTGATAAGTCTGTTTGAAAAATTGATTTGGGTCCATAGTACTTAAATATCAAAGATTAAATTCAGTTGATAAGAATCATTCAAATAAGTTTAGCTCAATAGTTAATTAACAGTGAAGTAATTCCTGATCCTAGAATTTTTAAGCTGCTGGTAGTAAAACTTGTTTGATGTTTAATTTTCCTTATGATTCATATTTTTAATTAGTTGTGTTTTCAAATAAAATTTATCAGAACTAATTATTCTGGATTGCATTCATTATAGTGTTTTATAATCTATAAATAAAAATATTGAAAAATTCATGTCATTTGTATTTTTACAAATTATGTAATGTTTTTGATAGTGAACAATGAAATATAAACATATACTTGAATTGTATTAAGAAAAATATGAAATATAAATTTATTTATATGTATATTTATACATTTGCATGTATATACTTATTAATTTGAATATTTTGTTTAGGACTTGAAAAATTTAAATGCTAAAAAAGTGTTGTTGATGACAGATTCTAATATAAGCACCCTTCCTCCGATGACTGAAACTTTGGACTCCATTCATAAACATGGAATAGAGTATGATGTCTTTGATAAAGTTCGCATTGAACCAACTAATGTGAGGTATTTATTTTATGTATTTCTTCATTATGATGTTTTATACACTACTCAATAATCAGTTGCTTTTGGGATAAAGAAGAAAGCATTACTATTGGTTTTGCTTAGTGAATAGAAGCTAATTTTATAATGTTAGCAATATATTAATTCTTTGCATAAAGCAGAGAAGATAAAATAATTTCTATGGGAAGTATAAAAGTATTAAAGCATTCACAAAAATATTAAGCTAAAAAAGAGTTTATAGTAAAAAATGAAATATATATATATATATATATATTTAAAAAAAAACTTAAAACTTAAGCACTATATGGTAAAAATATTTTTTTTAATTGCTACAGTATGCTTGGTCATATGTTATTAGAAATAAAATCATAAGGCTGCTAACAATGACAAATGTCAAATTAAGAATGTCAAAGAGAAATTTAAGGGAATTGAATGGAATTATTTTTATGTAGAGTAGTATACCTGAAGCCACTGGTAACTTATTCTAAGACATATTGTGGATAACAGCAAACACAAACTGGTTTGGAAACATGGCAACTACTTCCTTATTGACCAGTGTAGCTTCTCGTACAATTTGAATGTTTTTGACGTTAAACATCTTCCTAAACCAATGCAGCATCCTTTGCTTAATATAAAAAAGGTTGTTTTTCTCTTTTAACCCATCTTTTTTTTTAACCCTGTTTCTCTCTTTTTTTTTCCTTCTCTCCCTCTCCCATCTAATTTCACTCCATCCCTTAAAAAAAGAGATTTTTGCACTAAATTTCCCTTAACTCTGTCTTTAACAATCTTTCTTTTCTCATTAGCAAATCTTTGTTGCAGCACTCAAAATTTTTTTATTTACATTACAGTGGCTTCCAAATGTGAAACCAGTGATACTATCAGTGCTTCTAAATTTAAGAGAAGCAATGGTATCATATGATTAAAGAGAACACAGAAATTTTGAATGAACAGAACAACAGAAGGGGAAAAATAATCATGTCCCCAATGTCTTTCTCTCTCCCCCCCAATCTCTTTGTGTCAACAGGTTACTTTTTTAATGTTCATGCTTTCCAGTAAAAAACTTAAGGCCTTTCTCTGCTTTTATTAGCATTTTATCCTGTGATATGGCAGTAATTTTTGCAGTTTGCAGTGCAGCAGAAAACTAAAATGAATTTTTTTCTTATGCTTCAATATTTAACAAGATTCACCATTGCCATAAAACCTGTTAGTTTCTGTGTATGATTATTTTTCCCCTTCTGTTGTTCTGTTCATTCAAAATTTGCCATTCTCTTTAATCAATAAGATACCATAGCTTCTCTTAAATTTAGAAGCACTGGTAGTATCGCTGGTCTCATATTTGGAAGGCACTGTAATGTAAATAAAAATAATTTGAGTGCTGCAATATAGTTGCTAATGAGAGAGAAAGATTATTAAAAGCAGAGTTAAGGAAAATTTAGGTGGCAAAATCTTTTTTTTTTAAAATGGATGGAGTGAAATTAGACATTTTTGGTAGTCATTGCTCGTACTGTCATTTTTATAGCTGTCATGAGGGAAAGATCAGTTAAGAAAAAGACAATTCTGAAGGGCGACCTGTAACTGGAAACTGTACATAAGATTCCGAAGATGACCATTTCCATCCTTCCTTTCCATTTAATTACATCATTTGAGAAGGTGATATAAAAATTACATATGATCATATTGTATAAGTTATGGACTGTTAAAATTACATATTGTATAAGTTATGGACTTCACTAGTGGCTGCTGAATATTGATGGTCTGAAATAGCTTTGAATGCAGATAAACAGATTGGCTGCATGTTAGTTTTCTGTGGTTTTCCCCATGGGTAATAAAGACATAAACTAGTTTTCTTTGGCCCACGAGTGGCCAACGATAAAGTCGCTGAACACTGGTAGTTCAGTCCAAAGTTAGAATCCTGTGAACAGGCTGGCTGAGGGTGTTTTCATGGTTTTCACCCATGTTTAACATGTATATGAGCCAATTTCCCTGAGAAAATCCTCCATGAAGGTGTCTTTCCCTTAAGACAGATAGCCCTCGAGTGCAGTGCTTTGCCGTAATCCAATAAACGATATTGAAACCAAAAAAAACTAACCTAACATACCTTTGAAATTCTGTTACTGTCCTAATACAATTTTTATTGGCCCTATATTTTATATATGTAACTATTAAGATCATGATGGAAAAAAATTGTAATTTTTTTATGTAGAATATTGTTTTATACTTTTAAGTTCATAGACTGGGAGAAAAGTAAAAAAGAAAGGAAGTCGCTGAAATTAGGAAAATTATTCTCTTTAATCGACATGCAACAAAGTATGTGACATCATCAACTTTCAAGAACCTTCTGTATAATAAAAGGCACAAGATTTCATTCAATTCATTTAAATTTCTGTGTGATTTAGAAACTCACTCACATCATCTTTCAAAACCATGGGAATGCTAACTATGAAGAATATAAAAAATCTTTCATTGTTAGCAATCTGACGATAACTAAGAAAACAGAATATTTTCTCAAAAATTGTGAAATTTGGTATATCAAGTGAGAAAGTTGGAAAAACTGTCATTTGGAATATTATTTTTCAATCTATTCAGTGGTGCAAAGTTTCAAAGGTGGCAGAAATTAGTTTGGAAATTAAGGAAAAAAACATCAGCTTTAAATTAAAGAAAAAAAAATCTATACCATATTTTGAAAAAAGTTTCTGTACAGTATTTAAGGAATACATGCTTGTGCAGAATTTTAGAAAATTATGTCTGTAGAAGGAGACTGGGAAAAAAAAAAAAAAAAAGGTACTATATTATGCTGTTGATCATGAAAGTTGACTACTGTTGGTCATCAAAGATAGTGGATATCATGTCAATGTTATACCAGTCATTGCTGCAGAATTCTAAAGGATTTGATACTTCTTTATTTAATCCTCTGAGCACTATGACTGGCTTCATTCTGTGGGAAAACATTCAGTCATGAATTTTTTTAATGACTTTGTATATATTAACAGATAATTAAAGATATTTTCCTTTTCTTACTTTCTTTGATAATGCAAATGTCATCTTATAATGAATGTCATTTTATGAAAATAGAGACTAAAATAAGTAATTATGCAAATATAGCTAATAAATGACATTTAAATCCTCGTGACATATCTAAAAACCCACACCACTCGGAGGGAAATGAACAATCAGTATTCTATCTGCTTTGTTACTGCACTTTGTAAAAAGACTTTCATCAATTTCTACTAGTTTGTTAGATCCCTTAGTTTTAACAAAAGCATTGCTTAAAATGCTTTCAGTACAGATTTCTTCCTGGTAATTATTCCAACCTGTGTTTTATCAGCCATATTCAGCTAAGCATATCTTGTCCAGTAATTAACAAGTATCTTTTTTATAGCTGAATGCCATAACTTAAATATTAATCCACTGCTTGCTTTTCTATAGAAGGCAATTCCTAAATTTTAATCATGTTATCAAAATGCCAGAAAAAATGTGTAGCAACTATAGCTAATTTATATTCTTCTTTATAAGTATAAAAAGTAGCTTATAGAGTATCAATCAGAGTTACATCAAAGAAAAGAGTTGATGTTATCATACTTATCCATAACTGATGCTAAATTGTAACAGCTTGGCAATAGTTTAATACTTGACAAAATAACACTTACATATAAAAAAGAATTTCCAGATTTGGCCCTAAAAATAAAAAGCTAAATAAAACTGTGTAAAAAGTTTGTTTGCAAAATGGCAAACGATATCAATCAAACTTGTACCAAACAGACTTTTTTAATGTGCTAGATTTTCCCAGAAGCTTCCTATTCATTAAAAGAATTAAATCTGAATGTGCTGATGAAGATTTTTATTTTAATATCAGTATTAAAATTAAGATTAATTTAAATGAAAATTTTAATCTTATCTTGAAACCCTTACCACTGTTTCTGTAGCATTTTTTTCCAATCCTCTTTTTATGGCAATTTAATAGAATGTATATATTAAAATTCCAAGAGCATATCATGCAAATTTTTCATTGTAAATATTTCTTAAAACAAATTTATATTGTTTCTATTTTTCAGATTCTACTGATATGAACACTAAGTAAAAAATGTAGCAAAGATAAAAAGGGGTGATAAATAAAAAGAAATAAACCCCTAAATGTGAAATCTGACTTGGGAGAGAACATAAACTAATAAGAAAAATAAAATCAACTTTAAAATGGATTACTAATATATATAACAGAGCAGAAAGTAGATAACAAAAGAATAGCACACTAAATTTCGTTATAACTTTAAACACCAGTTCTTAAATTCTGTTATATTCTAAATTGTTAAAAAAGTGTACAAAATATAAGAAAATATTGTTATCTATTGTTAGGAATTCATGTTCATTCCTGTTAATCATGGAGCTGAAAAACGATGTCACGACCATCTACGTATGAGTGCAAACAGTGAAAATTTTCTGAGGAGTCATACATATTAAGATGATGATCTACATTCTGTGGGAAAACATTTTTTTGGCCTTGTCTCTTTGTCTTTTGATGTGGCCACAGAGTTTCTCTGATTAAGTTATGGCATTTCTCTGTCCTATGATTCCAATGGAAGTGCAGGCATTTTTAGTGCCAAGTCAGAAAAGACTGCTGAAATGTTATGGTATTGTCCCAAATAGAAGTTTCTGAATGAACTAATGAAGAGTTTTAGTATCAATGGATAGCGAAATAGTCAGCCCATTGACTAATCTTTTGAAATTTATGTTTTTATTTTGTATTGTTTCTCCTATACATATAATAAAATAAATCATACATGTAAAATAATGACAAGCTTAAGTTCTTTAAAAATAATTCTCTGTCGTAAGGCTAATGAAATGACTACGAAATATCATTTCATATATCATCATCATGTGACTGTTTCCATATTTCCTTGGAAATGATTACATAGTTTCTAAACTAGGTCATGAAAGAACAGAACTTCTCTCTTCTTGAAGTAGTAGTGCTGCTTATATTTTTAAGTGTAGAAATTTGCCTAATTAATATTTTTTTAAATCATTCCACCGAAAAACGTTCTCGGTTGATTATACTGAGTAATGACGAGAAAGAAATTAATTAAATTAAAGTTGCATTAAATTAAAATAATATTTTTTGTTTTGTGTTGTACATACATTTATATTTTTAATAAAAATTAAAGTTATTTATGTAGAATTAAAAAAAATACTTGGTTTTAATAAGTTTTCGGAACATAACTCCCCTTTTTCGTACTGGCTCTGGATCTCGTACAACATGGTTTCACACAACATGGTATTTTTTAGGAACCTATCTATCATGTTATAGGAGGGTTATCTGTATAGCTGCATAAAATAACATTAATTATGTAAGAAATTGAATGGGATCAGAAGGTTCATTCATTATATGTGGGATTTGTTATAGAGGGGTTCAACTTTTGTATATCATAACAATTGCACATTTTTTTTTACATGGTGAACAGTTTAATTTATTTTTCATTTTATATCACAAACTATCTTGATGAAGAAATTTAGTAATATTATTAATATTTTCCTCTTTTAGTAATAAATTACTTTTCTCTTAATTTAATGCTTCTTTTTTACATGTGTGTTCTGAATTCAAATCGCAGTTTCGAACAAGCTATCTCATTCGCTAAGAAGAAACAATATGATGCATTTGTTGCTGTTGGAGGTGGTTCTGTGATTGATACATGCAAAGCTGCCAATTTGTACTCCAGTGATCCTGAAGCAGAGTTTTTAGATTATGTGAATGCACCAATTGGAAAAGGAAAGCCTGTTACATGCAACCTGAAGCCATTAATAGCTGGTGAGCAATTCTCATTTGTAGTCAATTCATTAATGTTTCTGTTTCTTTCCTATGCTTAATTATTATGATTGATAGTACAGTCAAAAGTCGTTAATTCGGACACCCATAATCCGGAATGATCTATAATCCGGACCTCAAAGCTAAAATCTTTCTGCGCATGCGCCGCATTGACGCATGCGCATAGGCGTTTTACTCGTGCGCACAAGACATTTACGACTGCGCATATGCGTCTGCGCAAGTGCAGAATACGTTTTCGCGTGCGCGTTTAATATATAACGGACGGTATAAGCTAAAATTATCTAATTATCTATTTCAGTTAATGTTGATGATTGCGTTGTTCTTTAATCTTCGAATTGGATCCGGCTTATTATTTTTTGCAGACTGTAAGAGCAATTTTGTAAAAGTAAGCTTGAACTTTCGATTATGTCAAATAGAATATCCGATGCTGGAGCTCCCAAAGGATCTAGAAAACGAAAGTATGTTTCGATGTCCATCAAACAAAAAACGAATTGCTACAAAAAATGGATAAAGGCATATTCTTTGTTTATCTAACCGTTCCGAAATCTGTTTATCAATTTCACGCTGCTCTGCGCGGGGGGGGGGACGTCGCGGCGCGCAATGAACTGGAAGTTGATTTGTCAACACTATCGTTATCTTCAGGGCAGATGTTTTTATTTTATTATATGTAGTATTTATTATTCGGCTTATAATTCCTTACTAAATGTAGTATTTAATTTCGATGTACTCCGTCTTTGATATGATTTAAATAAAATTCCTCGTCATTATAAATATCACGAATACAAATCAAATAGTTTTCTGGTTGCAATTTTCTAATTTCGGCTATGCGTAAGGTATGCTTTACGCATCCGCGCGTTGAAAGAAATGTTTAATAAAGTAAACAAATAAATATTAGGCTTCCTTTTTTGGTAAATTTTGATACCCTTTAGATCATAATTGCTCATTATTTTATAAATTACGGTTTCATATTTTTAATTTTATAATTTCTGCATGCCATCTTACCAGATTTAAACTGATGATCTATAATCCGGAAAAATCGATAATCCGGAATCGCCGAAGTCCCGACGAGTCCGGATTAAAGACTTTTGACTGTAATAGTTTTCTGTTGATTTTATAATATTTTTCATATACAGAAAAAGTCCAGAAATCTGCAAAGCTTGGGACAAGAGGTTGTGCGGATTTTAGGATTTTGCAGATTTCAGGACAGAAAAGATAAATAAAAAGTGCAAAATAAATAAGGCGTATTAGATACATTTAATTAAATTATTATATACATTATTGAAATAATTTATTATATGCATTAAATTATTATTACATATATAAACTGATTATATTATTCATTGTATTATATGTACACAGCATCCAGGTTTGCCGATTTCGCCTCATGCAAAGATTTCCGGTTTCGGATTCTGGTATTAAAATCACTGTTGCTGTAAAATTGCAACAGCTTTTCTTTATTTTTCTGTATATCATACACACTCATGTCGCAATTCCATACGATTCTGCTATAAACCGAGGACTGGAACTTTCCCCATCTTTTGCAGAATTTGCACTTTTTGCATTAACCGTCAATGCAACGTGTTTACGTTTTTCAACGTTGCAAGCAGTAAAATCATGAGTGCGTTTCTTATCTGTCATTGTATTAAAAAGGGCTGAAATTTAAAATATTCTTAATTTATCCACAAAATATCTGGGTTAAAAAAAAAGGCAGCACTAAATAATCTTGTGAAATAACAAAGCTCAGAAAATATAACAACATGAATCGTGAACTTGAAAGAAGAGTGAGTGAATCATCTGCTTTTTTACCTCGATGCAAATTAGATGGTAAAGAACTTTTATCATGATGTCAATAATTTGGTATTTTCCATTATGGCTCATTATTATTCTGTAATTATGACGTCATTATTCAGTAAGTATTTTTTCTTCAATATTTTTGTACTCAATGTTACGGTTTCCGGAACCTATAAACTGAATGTTTATATTTTGAGAGGCACTGCAGATTTCAGGAGTTGGCAGATTTTCAGGTCAGCGGATTTTCGGTATTGGACTATATTTCAATATATTCTTATATTTTGTTTCTCTTATATTTATTTAGCTCTGTGGTATTATATTATTCACAGAGTAGTTAGATATTCTGCATTAGTGAAATAATTTATTTATTATACATGCTATTTTCATTTTCAATATAGTAACACATTCATATAAATAATATATTTATATCATTATTTAATTACAAATCTCTCAAATGTGATGTAAATGCAGCTGTAGATATTATTAAAAGTAGGGAATATATTACAATATATTACAAAAATTATATATTTCTTTGAATAAAGACTATATTTTTCTTTATTATGTTTTATTTATCTCTTCATTCATTTTACTCTTTCAATAGCATGATTTGATAAGGGCCAGTAATAGCTATGATGAACATATGTTGAATTCTAATAATGTATAAACAAATTATGAATAAAAAATGTTATCGCATTCATAGCTATGCACATACACTACTGGCCTATAAAATTGCTAAACCAAGAAGAAAAGCAAATAACAGAACATGCAAAATTCAGTGCACAGACAAGCCTTTTTTGGTAGTAACACAGCTGTAATCTGGCTGGGTATTGAGTCAAACTGAATTTGGATGACAAACCCAGGTGCTTCATTCCATTCAGCTTTATGTCAGAACTCCTCAATCATAATAGCTTAGGTGTGCCAGTCTTTTGGTAATCTATGGCCAGATATTCTGAATTGGCGAGAGATCTGGAAAATTTGCTGGTCAGTATAACAGTTAAACACCCTCTATGGAAGAAGATAAGGGCAGCATGTAGTTGTGTATTAATTTGTTACCTTTTTATAGATGGCATCATGTAGGCCATCTGTCAAAGCATAGGCATACAATAGCAACAATACATGTTAATGCATGTACCATAGAGCATGGTACATGCGTTAACATGTATTGTTGTTTATCACACAACTGTAAGCGAACTTGTCTTTACTGCAGTGCCAAAGGAAGTTGCAACAGTGGTCGTCGTGTCGACAATCCATGGTGCTGCAGACATTGTCCCACTGTCTGTGCAGATACTTGTTGTCCTATACAAGAGCCCGGTTTCTGAACCTACGTAACATAGCCATATGATTTCACAAAGGCAAGAGGATAATATATCTGTCATCTCAGGCATTGGTGGCCTGGAACTGATGAGATCTTATATGGCATTCTGTATGGCTCTGCAAAATCCAATGATTCCATATTCACTTGACAGCCATGATATCCCAACCAACATGAATGGTAGTGTCATGGAATAATAAGCCTCAGTCTCGAGAGGCCGCAGTGAAATTCCAGTATGTGCTAGTAGGAGTTTCTCCTTCTTATATGAGGCATAACATGACCTTTACAAATGGTCAGATGCAGTTTCCAAATGAAAAACCCACCTTGCAGTCTTCCCATTTATACTTAATTTAGATGACATTGAGTATAAATTACTCATATATTAAGTACGTGATTCATACCTGCTTTGTGCACATGTGCTGGAATGCTAGTCATTATTTGCATATCCCCATACCTTTGTTCCAAATTTGCCATTTGTTGCATATACCTTTTGTGGTGTAGCAATTTTAATGACCAGCAATGTATTTTAATGATTTTGTCAATAAGCAGTCTGTTGGTAGGCAGAGGCAGTTATGTTATTTGTTTAAAATATTTTAATTTTTTAAGTATAGTTATTAATATTTAAATATACATTAGTGTTATTCTTAAAATCTAAAGTATTTGCTTCATAAGTGATTTTTTATTAATTAAAGTTAGAAATGTTTTAGTGAAGTTTTTCCAAAATTTAATCCTTATATTATGCATGCTGCAATATATTTACCATCTATGTGACCTGAGAAGCATTATCATTGCATAAAGCAGAATATTCTTTAACTTCTCTGCAACCTCACAAATAGCCAATTCATTATTATTTATAGCATTATTGTAAAAGCAATAATTTAGCATAATTATAAAAGATGTTTCTAATGTCCTGTATTATCAATCTCAGTGCAAAATATACACTTCCCCCCCCTCCCAGTGTATGTTATTTATTCATTTTTAGTGCCAACAACTGCTGGAACAGGGAGTGAAACCACTGGTGTTGCTATATTTGATCATGTGCCACTGAAAACAAAAACTGGTAGGCTGTCATTAATTTTCTTGTTTAAAATTGATTTTATATGTATATTTTTTAAATGTATTTAGAGAAAAAATTGATTAATTTATGGTCATATATAAATAATTGAAATTGAGCTACAATTGAGGGAAGGAGGAAAAAGAAACCTGCCTAAAATTATACCTACAAAGCAATTAGAATTCTCTGTGAATATACATGTAAATATATTGAACAAAGTAGCACAGGAATTATTGCATATATTTATGATGAAAATTATTTATATTTGTTAACAGTTTTGAAATATAACTAAAAGAATATTATTATTTTAAATTTACAGCAGTATATTTGATTTTTTTTTTTTTAATTTATAGTAGAAAAATGTCACATAAAATAGCAATTGCATAAATTCATATGACTTTTTTGAAGATTAGAAGGCATTTGAAAGTAATAATGAAAGCTAATGAAATGATTTATTTGCATTTTGTTGATATTTTTAAGAGCAGAAATAATATGTGAAAGAGTACTGAACATAATTGAATAAATTTAACAGTTTAAAAGTCTGTTATTCTTTTATTTTTTATAGATTATAAAGTGTAGAATAAAACCATAAAATGTGAAGCGCTAATTTTTGTGTCATTTGAATAAAAGTATAAATTGTATTTCTAATAAATTGCCTTTTTTTTAAAGCATATTTTTAAATATTCACAGAAACATATTACCATTTCCTAGAAAGCATATTTTTGAGTACTCATAGAAACAAGAATACTCTTGAATTTAACTAAAAAATATAAAATATTAAGGGAGCAAAAATCTCTCTGCTATTAAAGATTCTGCAAAAGAGATTAGGAAATAATATTTGACTTAAGCTATTGAAAAGAGCATTTAAAAAAAATCTTGTTTATTCGAAAAAGTTTGAATAATTGAATATTTCAAGTTAAAGAAATCTGAGAAATGTTAGCATTAAATTTTAACCATTTGAATTCCCTTGACAGCAATGATAATCTCAGTTTATTCTGGAGAAACATTTACTTCGGATTTAGAATTATTGAACTTGTATGATATGCAATTTCAGTAAGCAAGTCTATTACACACCTACCAGTTTCAGCTACTAAAATTCATTTCACATGGAACCAAGTTTGTAATCTCATTAACTATGTTACACTGATTTCCAAGATCATCTTCACCTGCACAAAAACACCGATTAATCAAAAACTCTTGTACAAATAGATTTGTGATGATGAATAAGTCATAACACATTTATGCAAAGTAAAAGCCTTGAAAACAGAGGTCCTTGAATTCATGTGCACGTATCACATGTTCAGGTAGCTAGTGAGAGTTTGGAAAAGTAAGTTCCAATATAAGATACTGTTTGAATTAAAATGCTCCACCATTATAGCCATCAAAGTATTTGCATACCTAGAAGGAAATTTTCACCATATTTTTTTTAAGATTGTCCCATAATTAATCAGTGAAACTCAAATCAGAGATATATTTATTAAATCAATGTTTCGGGTTTCAAAAAATTTATTAATCAGATTTGTTGAATTGGATACACATCATTAGCACTCAGGACTGGAAGAAAGATTATATCTTTGTATGATATACCTTTATCTTGAACACATGCATATAATAGAAAAGAAACAAAACGTAGAAAAACAATTTATCTTCTATTTTTATTTTTTGGGGAATATTAAGTAAATATTATTTTTAAATTAGTAAATATTATTTAAAAAATATGGAATGCCATTCTTATTTTGAATTAATATGTAAAGAAATTAAAAAATAGAAAAAATTACAACACTTACATTATAAATTTTGCTCATTAATTTCAAAAAACACTAACTGAACTTCTAATTAAAATATCCATGCAATGAAATCTGCCTGTTTAATTTTTGTTTTTGGTCAATCATTCTTTCTTCTAAAAGGTTTTAAATTCCATGAAGCAATAAATTAATCATATTTTTATCAGTTATCTATCACATTTTTCTGCTTATTTTACACTTCCTTTGTGGCAAATCACCACCATCAACAACTTTTAGTTGTGGTTCTAAATTTCACTAAGGATTCATGGTACTTAATGCAAAATCATCACATGCATGTTTGCATTTCATGCATGCATCAAATTGTTAACTTCAAATTAAACAATTAATTTCATTAACATCAGAAATAAACTGCCATGGTCAGGCTTGCACATTGATTTATTATTATTGTTAGAGTGCATTGATAGGAAATAATAGAATTAGTATAAACATTTTAAGAATGCAATGATGCAATTATTAATTTAAAGAACACAGTAATAGGTCCTGTATGATAAAATCATATTGAAATAAAGAATACAACTAATGTTTCACAAATACATAAAAAATTTGCTATTAAAAATAGCTTTTCTGATGGAGATAAATTTCTTGATTTATACACTACTTGAAATATTTGGAGTTTATACCAAAACTAGACATTTTGCTGACTGCTTTAATGAATGCCTTCAGTGATTTGACGTGCATTAGAAATTTGTCTTTGAAAACAATAATTATCAACACAGATGTTTATCAAATGTTCTCAGACATATTGGCAACTCTTAAAAGGTGATAATTTGGTTATTCTTTATTTCTCTGGCTACATCATTCAAGCTCTTGCATTGTATTCAAAATAGGGTTTTTTCTAGTTTGGAGACATTTAGTTAATTAAATTAAAAGAAAATTTTAATTTTTACTTTACTGAAGAAATGAAAAACTGTGAAGAGAAGAACTGGATTCCTTCCAGGGCAACATTACTACTGGCATATCATTGAAAGCTGATGAATAATTTATTGACCGGCTCAAGAATACATTACTAAAACTGAGTTTTAATTGCAGTAAATTGACACAATTCTGATTATCTGTCGAACAACCTTATCCAGTTCTTTCTATTAAGCATTGAAGATATTACTTCTTTATTCATCTCCATACCTTTGTGAAATTGCATTTTTGCCATTGGTAGAAATTAAAATCAAGTATTGAAAAAAGCTGCAATTGTCAAACTCTTTGCATCTGAAAATAATTCAAAGCAACCTGGACTGCATTGCTAACATCAACAGCAATCGAAAACAAATGCACCCTTGACACAGAAAGAAAAAAATAAGCCTTATTAAAAATCCTTTTTGTAAAGTTAAATTTAATAATAAATAATTATTTCTTTTACTGAAGTTCCTTTTGGGCTCCTAAAACCACTTTCTGAAAGAATATGTGCTCTTTATCTCTAAAAAAAATTCACTGCATTGAGGAGGAAATGTATTATTATAAATTCAGTTTCTAAAATGTAGGTCACAATGCTTAAAAGTTTTGGAACTTCTGTTCTAGATTATTATACCGTTGTGCTATAAGATTTCAGAAGGTACAAAATCAAACATATAAATTCTTCCAAGCTCTTGAAATTTTATAAAATACAAAATTAATTTTAAAAAATATTATGAGAATTGCTTTACATGCAAATATTTTTTGTGAATGAAGCAGTAACTGCAAGGTAGGGCATTTGAATCCCTTGTGATTTGTATGACTCTATAACTCTGCCTTTATTCAGCTACTATCTGTGAGATATGATTTAATTTTGTTTTGTTATAATCATAAAAGTATCTTTATTTAGATGTTCTGCGTTATAAGTAATCATTATTTCCCATTTGAAATAATGTTTTATTATATGTGACTATTTTTAGATAGGATGCATTACTTTCCAAGCATTTTTTGCTGTATTGAATTTGCTGATTTTTCATTTTTCTGGCTACTAGTCATTTGCACAGCTAGCCAACTAAAACAGTTATTGTAACAAAGTGGAAAAAATGCACTATAATGATTTTATTATGTCCAGCTAGTGTAATTTCACAAGTCCAACTAGTAATTGAACTAATAATGAAGATGAAGATCTACATTTACTGCTTTTAAATCACTTAATTTCTAATCTGTGAAAGTCAGTTTAAATGTGAAAGAAAACTTAAAACATCTTACATTTTGCCAAATGGCAACACTGATGCATGGAAGATAAAAATATTTTATTTTGGGCAGTGGCAACATATTTCTTTTAAATCAGTAAGTTTGTTGATTAAATTTGAAAGACAAATCTCTTATACTTTGCCATGTGGCAACATATTTCTTTTAAATCAGTTTGTTGATTTTATTTCAATTAGTTTGTTGATTTTATTTGAAATAAATATTTTAAACTTTTCTGAATGCAACACACTGCTTTTAAATTGCTGGGTTTGTTAACCAAATATTCATTAAATTCACACAAAGTATGAAGTAAATAAATAAATAAATTCAAAAATCGAACTTCAAGATGCACATGTTCAAGTAGAGGACCGAATGTGCTCAAAATTTGGTGACTCTTAAGTGCCATTTTTACCCAGTTTGAAGAACATACATACATATATACATTCAGATTCTTCATTGAGATAAGAGCCTGAGAGCAGAGGTTTGATTATAAGTTAGAAAAGCTACTTTTCATTAAAAATGTATGAAAATTGAATTATATTATAGTACTTTTTATAGGTAAGCCGTAATTTAAATATTTTTGTATTTATTTCCATGTCAGTTTTAACTGCAAATTAGTTTTTTCTTAAATTTCATGATGTTTCTCATAAAGTTCATTTTACATCTGTATAATGTTGTTATTTTAAACCTTTTTTTAAGCGTTTTTTAAACTTTTTTTTCAAACACAAAAGTAAATAATGTGTTTGATCTATAATTGCATTTTTAGGGATTGCTCATCGGGCTCTTCGTCCAACACTTGGAATAATTGATCCTTTGCATACTCTACATATGCCTAGCAGAGTAGCAGCTTATTCAGGATTTGATGTTTTATGGTATCAAGTTATTAAATATTTCAAACCCAATGAATAATGGATGTGCTGTGAAAAACTTTAAAGATTAAATGCCCTCCCCCTCTTTTTTTTAGCCATGCTCTTGAATCTTACACTGCAATTCCCTTCAATGAGAGAACTCCTCGCCCTGAAAATCCTGTGCTTCGCCCTGCATATCAAGGTAGTAATCCAATAAGTGATATATGGGCCTTGAAAGCTCTAAGAACAATACAAAAATACTTTAGAAGGTATTGTTTGTGGGGAAATTTTATACTTTATTGATTTAGTACCAGTTGAAAAATTAATGAAAGGACCATTCTGTTTCTAATTATGTTGCATATAAAAAAAACTATGTAAATGTTAGTGTAAATATTGACCATGCTTAACAGACCTTCATTAAAATATACCATTTTTATTTAATTAAAATTTATATTAATTTAATATTTATTTAAAATTTGTTATGCATATAATATATATATATAATTTTTTAATTATCAATTTATGTTTTGAGTAATGAGTTCAAATGTTAAGAAAAATGTATGATAGATGCTGCTTCTTTTCCTGTTTTAAATATTTGTGACGTTGATAAATTGATGATGAGAAAGGAAAGTTAATACATTTAAAAAGAGTACAGAGAAAATACATATATTTTTTTCATTTCATTCATTAAACTCTTGCTATTATTTGCATTAATTTGCTTTAAGAACTATGTAGTTTATCTATATAAAAATTGTATTACAGTGGAAGCTCATTAATTCAAACACGAAAGTTTTCAGAAAAGATTTTGAATTATCGAACTTGTTGAGAGAAAAAATACTTTAAAAGTGTATCACTGAAGAAGAAAAAAATCTCTTAGTATGTATAATTCCATATAATATATTATACTATGCTATCTAAAATTAAACATATTAAAAAGCAATAAAAATGTACCTTGATTATAAAATGAAGCAGAAGATATGCTGTAGAAAGTAAACTTTAATTAAAAATATGAATTACACTTTTGTAGAAAACTGTAAAATGGATGTTTGGTTTTGTTTATTATGCCTATATTTTTTAGCCAGCTTCTCAATTTGAATTAAACATTCAATTAATTTTCAAAAGAAGACTCAATCTGAATAAATACTTTCAGAGTTTATTATGGCTTATAAATACACTCAGAGTTTTTATAGAGTCCATTATGGCTTGAACATTAGGATGCTTAACAGTCTCTGCATTCTCTCTGAATCCAAAAAGGTCTCTTCTTTTTCATCTTATTGGATAGATTTTATTATGTCATCATCACTCAGTTGTCCACAGACTTCCAAATCTTCATCTACCCTTGCATAATCAGAAAAAGTTGCATTAGCACCTTTAATATTTTTTTAATTAAAAGAAAGCTATATCAATATCATCACATTCTTTGACATAATTGATGTCTTCGACGTGCATAAATTTAGAATTTAGCATGACTGTAGCAGTTACTAATTGTGCTTTTTTTAACAGCATCTGATGTGGCTTATAGATCATTTATAGCTGTCAGCAGAGTAATGTCATAGTTTTAAAGAAGAAATGATTTGTTGTAAAAGTCTCTTATGATTATTTGTTTTAAAATTCTGGATGATTCCTTTATCCATTGGTTGTAGCTTCGCAGTTGTGTTTGGCGGCAAATATTCAACCTGTATGGAACTCGGTTCTGAAAGGTTATTGTGGCAGATTGCATTATCCACAAGTAAGAGAATTAACTGCTCAGAATTAACCCCCCAAAAACTGCTTATCTATTCCTTTTAAGCAGTTACTGAAGATGTCTCATGTCATCCATGCTTTTGTATTGGATACATAATCAACTGGCAGTGTTCGAATTTCTTTAAAACACAGTGAAATTTTTGACTTTCCAATCACTAATAATTTCAGCTCTTTGCTCCCATCCATATTAGCACAAACTAAAGCTGTAATCCTCTGTTTACTGCTTGTACCTTCTACGCAAGCATCCCCTTTAAAATGCAATGTTTATTTGACAATTTGGCAAGAGTTTATTAAAAAATGCAGATTTGTTCATTAAAAAATATCTTTTCATAAGTTAAGTAGAGAAAAGTCCTGACGGTTTCATGTTGAAATTAGTGTATACGTCTTCATTTACATCAGAGCTTTGGCCACATACAGTATAATAAAAAAATATTGTGCCTTGACTTAAACTGAGAAGCCATCCATCACTGCATTTAAAATCTTCAGTATCCATTCAACTTGCCAATTCAACAGCCTTCATTTGCAGCAGGGGTCCATTTATCAGAAAATTTCGAGATCTAGCCTCCTGGAGCCATGGCAGTAGAGCTTTTTCTAAATCTTCTTGGGATGCATTTCTCATGCGTTTCCTTCCTCTAGCAAATTTAGAATTGATTTCTTGTTCTTCAAATAAGTAAACAAGATTATTTTTTTAATTCAATAGTCAGCTGCTAACTTTGTTTTATATTCGCCATTCTCTACTTTCTTTAAAACTTCTACCTTTATCTCCAAAGTTAGAGATTTTATTTTCCATGTGTAGACATCCTGAATTTTTACACGTTCACAGCACATTGTGATTAAGAAAAACTAGAGCACATTAACCTGTCTACACTGCAGGCAAAACTGGTACAGCTCTCTACAATCTGTACTAAGAAAGTTTTTTCTGAAATTCTAAGAAAGTTGATAATAAATAAACAAATGATTCTCCCCCTACTCTGACCTATTCATAAAGGATTCTGAATGAATCCAAGGAAACAGGTTAGGCCAGGGAACTTTGTCCAATGAGCACTGATAAGAGGTGGACAGTAGGACAATAACCACTGGTGTTTAGTGGAACTGCAATAGTTAGAAATGCAGGCAAGTGCTTTTTTACATAAAAAAGAAATACAGATGATTTTGGCACAAAAAATAATAAATACAGTATGTATTTTCTTTGTTAAATGAGGAAAAAGAATTTTTTTTCTTTTGTCAAATTTTTAGTGGGAATTAACTAACATGATAAAAATTTAATTTGAATTAGTGAATCAACTTCTTAATTTTTCAGTTAATAAAATTCTTCTTAAGTCACCCTTTAAAGATGTTTATAAGAAATAAATAAAATGAAAACAGATTAATAAAAATTAAAGAAAGTAAGCCATCGGTCTCCATCTAATGTTGTTAATAAAAGGAATAGGATTAATAGTCTGGGACAAAAGCAGTAATATTTAGTTTAATTTAGTGAGTTTTTAGACTTTTCTTACCATGTTCCTGGATGTTCAATTTGTTCTTGAACTAGTATCACATCTACAGTATACCCTCAACTGTGCGTTGAAGGAAATATTTTATAGAATTTTTATTCTCAGGCTATCTGATTGGTTGACTAATACGAAAACCAGTTCTTTGGAGAAACCATACAAGGAACAATGCTCTAAAGGTAACATTTTTTGGCTAGGAACCCTCCAGTGGTAATCTCATTTCTTGGAAAAGCCTCGTACATTATTAGATTTGATAACCCCATTTATGCTTTTCAAGGACTAAATTTGTATGGCTACAGTGTTAGAATTTTTAATCATATAAATCTGCTGCTAATAACAATCAAATCATATCTCGAAAATTATTAATCTTCTGTCCTAAATTATGTGACTGCAGCCTGGATAATATCAACTGGCAAATCATTTTTAATAAATGATGTGAGATTAAAATGCTTCTACCTTAATGAATTCCAGTCCAGGCTTGAGTGATTTTTGAACCATCAGGCAACTGTTTCATTAGCAAATTGTGGGCTGCCTGTTCTAGATTGAAATTTATTAACTAAATTGAAGCTCATTAGTCTTAGTTTTTTTTTTTTTTTTTTTTTTTTAAGTATTTAGTGTTTAATTTATGCAGTATGTGTAACTTATGGTGATTTCCTGTTATGTTTTTACCACCAATCCTCGAATTCCATATCACAGATTGTGTTCTTACTGCATTAATATAAATATTAACAAGACATAGTGCACAATAAAAATTAAGCTTTATTTAGGAACTTCGCGCACACTGCCCGACAGCCTGCCTGTTTCGCTCTGCTCGCTACTCGTAAGAAACTTCTCCTCTAGGGTTGCCACACTTATCGGAGGGCGCAAGGCGCGCTCCTTATCGCCATCACCACAGAGTTTCCCCCAGTTCCTTTAATGGCTATTCAAAGGAACGACATCAGGTTATGAAAATTATCTCAAAGAGTATCCGTACTGTCGGGTATTTTTTTTATGATTACAAAATTAGAATATAAAATTAGAAAAGATCAAAATGCAATTCAATATATAACAAGGTAATGACACATATAATAAACATGAAATAACAAAGAAATATGTTAAGATATGAATTTAAAAAAAAAAAGTGTTTTAAATTGTTATGTAAGAAGCAAGATTTTTAGGGAAGTGAACATGTCTTACCGATCTGGTGGACAGTTTGTGTCTTAGAGAGTTCGTTTGCAGATTTATTCTGCTGAACTGTCTTTAAGTCTTTATTTGTTTTCAGTTCAGGCAAATTAGAGTCCGAAAGCAAATAGGCTGGTTTCACCACGGGTCTATAGACACAGTAGATTTCAGACCGCTAATATCGTGAAAGTTTTGTCCGTTCTAGAAAGGACTTTATGCGGACCTGTATATGGTTGGCACAGAGGTGGCTTTACTCGATCGACACGTAAGTATACATGCGTACACGACTTTAAGGTAGCACTTACGTAACATTTTTCTGGCAATGTGCAGATGTTGCTATTGGATTCAATTGTTGCATTCTATGCCGAAGATTCGTGATAAATTGTGTCATACGGAGATATCTTAGATGACGTTATCATATCACTAGGCAGCTTGAGAGTTGTGCCGTACACCAGTTCAGCACAAGATGACTGTAGATCCTCCTTTACGGCTGTCCGAATACCAAGCGTAACAACTGGTAGTGTTTCAGTCCAGTTATTGGTCTCGTGAGCCTTGAGAGAAGATTTTAAATGTCGATGAAATCGTTCAACAATGCCGTTGGACATTGGATGATAGGCTGTTGTGATTCTGTTCGTACCTAAAATGCGCGTAAATTCTGCAAAAAGTGCGGATCTCATTTGAGAACCTTGGTCTGTTGTTATGATCGATGGGCAGCCAAAACGAGATATCCAACAGTTGAAGATGGCTCTGCAAATGGTTTCCGTTTTCATATCCGGGATAGGAATGGCTTCAGGCCATCTGGAGACTATCTATTAGAGTCAAAAGGTACACGTTGCCTTCTGATGGAGGTAACGGTCCGACGATATCCATATGGA